TCTCTGTCAAATAAATAAAATAAAATCTTTCTTAAAAAAAAAGAAACATTGAGAAATACTATGTATTAGTCAAATATTCTTCCCTTAAGAAATTTATACTCTACTGAGGACAACTGATTACAGTGTGATAAAAGAAATAAAGGAGAAGTATATATAGGCACACCCAGGCGAGGAACCTAACCTGGAGGGTGGACTAGAAGGAAAAGTGGTGTTCGAGAAGGTACATAGAAGATATGATCCCTATACACAATCCTTAAGAACAGGGAAGAATTGGGGAAATAAGGGTACTGGTTCTTCTGGACAGAGAGAACAATGTGGACAAAGGCCAGTAGGCAAAAATGATACATTAAGAATACTTAAGATAATTCTGGGGGTCCCTGGCTGGTTCAGTCTAAGAGCATGCAGCTCTTGATCTCAGGGTCTTGAGTCTGAGCTTCACATTAGGTTTAGAGATTACTAATAAAATAAACTTAAAAATAGTTCTGGAAAACTGAACATAGTGTTCTACGGGAAAGAGGCCAGGGAGAGACCAGTGAGTAGCCTCTTGGCTTGAGCATTATACTAAGGAATTTGGACTTGACTGTGAGGAGTATTTGAAAGATTTTTAAGTAGAGTGAAAGAGAGTTATATCATTAGATTTGAGCATAAAGATCATCCTGGTTATAATGGGAAAACTGGAATTAGAAGACCACTATCTCTGGCAGTATAGTGGTCAGATATTGAGTCTTGAATAAACATAATTTCTAAGTACTGTTGGGCCTTTGGAAAGTAAGAAATCTTCAGGGTCCCCAAACAAACACGAAACTTAAAATCGTAGAGATGAGCAATAAACAAACATGAAATCCAGATTGCCCCAGGACAAATTATCAAATCAGTCCTAAGATCTGGGAATTGGATAGTCAGGAATAAACCTCAAGAGTTAAGATAAAATGGGGAAGCTAGGTTTAAATGTGGTCCCAGTAGAGGGCACCCAGGTGGCTCACTGGAACATGAGAGTCTTGATCTTGTGAGTTTAAGCCCCAGGCTGGATGTAGAGATTACTTAAAATCTTGTAAAAAAATAAAATTCTGGTCCCAGTTGTGTAGCAGTCCCCCAATCTCCTCATGCCTGACTCTCAGCAGAAGCAAATACAGATCTTCCTCTCTGAAAGAAGGCATCTTTAATTTAGGCCTTCAGGATCTCAGAGATTCACAAAAAAATTTAATATGGGCCACTTCTTTTTTTTTTTTTTAAGATTTTATTTATTTATTTGACAGACAAAGATCACAAGTAGGCAGAGAGGCAGGCAGAGAAAGGGGAAGGGAAGCAGGCTCCCTGCTGAGCAGAGAGCCCAATGTGGGGCTCCATCCCAGGACTCTGGGATCATGACCTGAGCTGAAGGCAGAGGCTTTAACCCACTGAACCACCCAGGCGCCCAAATATGGGCCACTTCTTAATCAAATATCAAACATACAAAGAATCAAATACCCATGAGAAAGATTCAGCAGAAATCACAAATAATAGATCATTCATGGACCTCACATATTAAAATGATCAGACAACATAAAATATCTATGACCTTTTTTTTTTTTTAAGATTTTATTTATTTGTTTGACAGAGATCACAAGTAGGCAGAGGCAGGCAGAGACAGAGAGAGGGGGAAACAGACTCCCTGCTGAGCAGAGAGCCTGATGTGGGGCTCGATCCTAGGACCCTGGGATCATGACCTGAGCCAAAGGCAGAGGCTTAACCCACTGAGCCACCCAGGCACCCCAAGATCTATGACCTTTTAAAGAAATAAAAGAATCACAAAATGAACAACAAAAAGAAATGATCACAAATGACCAAGCAAATGTGAAAAATAACTACATAGAACTTTTAGAGATGAAAAAAATCAAAGTTGAAATCAAAATCTTGTGGTTAGTTTAGCATATTAGTTACAGATGGAGAGAGTAAATTGGAAGCCAGATATGAACTCTTCAGAAAGCAATTTAGAGACAAAAGAAATGGAAAATATAAAAGATTAAAAGACAGAAAGACTGATGTCCCAGAAGGGAAAAATAAAGAAAATAGAGGAGAGCTAAAATTTTTAAGAGATAAGAAGTGAGAATTTTTGAAGAGTAAGAAATGGACCTACAGATACAGGAAGCATATGCCAAGCAGGATAAGTAAATTCACACACAGTCATGCCATCGTCAAACTATAAAACACCAAGAGAGAAGATCATAAGGGACCTATGGAAAAAAGACAAATCACCTACAAGCAGCCATAATCAAAAGAATGATATATTTCTCACTGCAACAATGGAAGCTGGAAGAGGAGGGCTTAATATCTTCAGTGTGCTATGAGAAAACTATCAGCCTGGATTGTTATGTCCAGAAAAACCATATTTATTATTTTTTATTTTCTATTCAGATCTTTAATCCATTTTGACATGAGAAACTATCTTTTTTTAAAGATATTTATTTATTTATTTGACAGAGAGAGAGAGACAGCGAGAGAGGGAACACATGCAGGGGGAGTAGGATGGGGAGAAGCAGGCTTCCCGCTGAGCAGGGAGCACAATGCAGGGCTCCATGCGTGGATCGACGTGGGGCTTAATGCAGGGCTTGATCCCAGGACCCTGGGATCATGAGCCCAGCCGAAGGCAGACACTTAATGCCTGAGCCACCCAGGTACCCCAAGGAACTTATCTTTAGAAAACAATGTTGAGGGTGCCTGGGTGGCTCAGGCCACTCAGAGTCCCGGGATCAAGTCCTGTATCTGGCTCCCGGCTCAGTGCGAGTCTGCTTCTCCCTACCCCCTCCTCATGCTCAGTCTCTCTCTCTCATTCTCTCTCTCTCTCTCTCAAATAAATAAAATCTAAAAAAATCTTAAAAAAAAAAAAAAAACCAATGTTAAGTAAAGACCTTTCGGATAAAATAGTTTGTCTCCAACAGACTTTCACTTAAGGAAGTTCTGCTTTAGGAAGAAGGAAAATGGTACCAGAGAGGAGGTCTAAGATGCAGGTAGGAATGGTGAGCAAAGATATTGACAAGCATCTGAGTAAATCTAAACAAGTGCTACCTGTATAATATAATGATAATGCTAATAATAATGTCTAACGTGAGGTAAAAGATAAAATATTGGTCAAATGGAAGACTGGTTAAATATTGATTCATTTAAAACTAATTAGATTTTGTATTAATTTTAAATTGTCATGCATGTTAAAATTTCAAGGATAACTTTGCTAAAGAGAAGAGAGTGCATAACTTCTAAACCAATAAAGAGGAAAGTAGTATTAAAAAAATGTTTTTAATTCTTTGCCACTGTTTAGCTTTGTAACCCCTGCCGTGTCACAGAACCTCCATTAGTTTCCTCATCTTTAAAATGTGGACAGTAGTACCTCCCTTATATGGTTGTTGTGAAGATGTGATCAGATCATGCATACAAAAAAGCTGAATGCAAATCTGTATAATAAGTATCCAATAAATATTAGATATTACTACTATTAATAGTGATTTATGGAGCACCTGACTGGCATAGTTGGTGGAGCATGAGGCCCTTGATCTTGGGGTCATGAGTTCAAGGTCCACATTCAGCGTGGAGCTTGTTTTTTAAAAAATTAAAAATTAAGTAAATAAGTAAATAAAATTTGTTTTAAATAGTGATTTATATAGTAACCATTAAAGGTGATACTTTAAAGCCATGCTAGAACTTCCCTGCCAACATCTCATCCAGCTTCTCTTCCATTAGAGGGAGTGCTACACCTAAAGATGGTTGGAGTGTTGAACAGTTAGTCTAATAACTCTTTAACAGTTCTTCTTGTGTTAATTGTAACTCCTTGCTCAGAACCTTCAGGATTCAATATTGCCTTTAGTAAAAGTTCAGAACATCAAGGCCACAGCCTGGCCCCAATCAACTTGATCTTATGTCCTTGAGTTAGATCTCTAAACATATTTGATGTCTTTTTCCTTTAAACTTTTGCTTAGAATGCCCTTTTGAAAAATAGTAGAATTTGGACGACTTCCTTCATCTTCATCCAGAAAACCTTCCCTTCTCTGAAAAATTCAGCCTATTCTTTAAACCCCAGTTCAAATCCCATAAAAGTTTCTGACTAGCCCAAAAGTGATTTATAATTTGAAAAACTATCCTCTAAACCAAATTTTTGCCTTCTGCTGCTACTTGTTCAGTTGAGCTTTTATTTAAAATTTATATTATCACAGAATTTTCCTCACATTTGCATGGTATTTCCAGTTAGATTTTTTGGTTCCTTAAGACAGTGGTTATTTCTTCTATGTCTTTGTATAGCTTCTAGGGAAGGGAAAGTAGTAATTTAAGCGGCTACTATATGCCAGGCACTCTACTAAATGCCTTCTTATATGTAACATCCAATTTATTCCTCACAGCAAACTTAGAAAGAAAGATATTAGTGTCCCTGTTTTACAAATGAGGACATCACACTTGAAAATGGTTAAATAACATACCCAAGGCACTTAACCAGTCAGTGGCAGAGCTGGATTTCTACCACACTACCCAATAAAATAGCTTTCCAAGAAGCCAAAATTCTTCCCAAAAATTAAAATTTGACTTGTCAGTTATCAACTAACAACTGAACCATGGGAATTCACAAAGAGCTAAAAGTCAGACAGAAAACCTTATTTGCGGGGTTTAGATTAAGGGGATTAAAGAGAGATTCCATTCTTATTCTATGCTTTGAGTTCATGTAATGTGACATGAAATGAATCACAAAAAGGTGAACCATTGGGTGCCTGGGTGGCTCAGTTGTTAAGCATCTGCCTTTGGCTCAGGTCATAATCCCAGGGTCCTAGGGGTTGAGCCCCATATCGGGCTCTCTGCTCAGCGGGAAGCCTGCTTCTCCCTCTCCCATTCCCCCTGCTTGTGTTCTCTGTCTCGCTCGCTCTCTGTCAATTAATAAATAAAATCTTTTAAACAAAAAAAAAAAGGTGAACCATCTTTAAGGTGCTTGCTGCAAGTCCATAACCCTTTCAGAACATTCTCTTCTCTTTTGCCTTTTCTAGGGTTACACATCTTTCTGGAATGACTGCATATCATCTGGCCTGCGAGGGGGTATCCTGATAGAGCTGGCAATGCGGGGTCGAATCTATCTGGAACCCCCCACAATGCGTAAGAAGCGACTACTGGACAGAAAGGTATGGCACCTTTGTGGACATCCTCCTAACTTACGAAAGGGCAGATACCAATGGTCATTTTGGAGGAATGGGAAGTTTTGTTTGTTTGTTCGTTTGTTTGTTTTTGAGGGCCTTGAATTCATGACCCTGAGATCAAGACATGAGCTAATACCAAGAGTCAGAGGCTTAACAGCTGAGCCACCCAGGTGCCCCTGGGGGGAATGGGAAGATCTGAATAGTGAGACAAGATAAGTATCACTGACAGTTGTCCCATTATCTAACAGTTTTAGTTAACCTATAGCAGAGGAAGAAATTCAAATATCCATCATCTAAAAAATTAGAAGGAGGTTATGATTTTATCTTTTTTATGTAGAAAAATCACTTTAGGATGCTGTTATTACTCCCTCTATAACTATAACATTATGAAATAGAGTTTTATATAGGAGGAGGGCAGACATATGGGTCAGGTGAGTCTTTGTTTAACCCTAGTCATGCTCAGATAACCATTAGATTTTTCTCCTTCTGTTTATAGTGAGTCGAGTCCACCATATGAGTTATACTCCTGTTTCCATTTTTTACTACTTATTTTTTCCACTCATAACGTCACTGTCATACTCAGAACTCTACCAAAATGACATTCTTTAGGTATCACCAGGAAGTTCTATCCCCAGTGTGGGGCTTGAACTCAAAACCCTGAGATCAAGAGTCACATGCTCTGGGCACATGGGTGGCTCAGTTGGTTATCTGCCTTTGGCTCAGGTCATGATCCTGGGGACCTGGGATGGAGCCCCGCATCAGGCTCCCTGCTCACCAGGGAGTCTGCTTCTTTCCGTCCCTCTGCCCCTCCCCGCTGCTCCTTTTCTTTCTCAGTCTCTCTCAAATAAATAAATAAAATATTTTTTTAAAAAGTTGGTATTCCAGACCCAGAGAGTTATTATTGCATATTTTCTCCATGATCATTTATATCCAGTTTGTTCCTAGGATCCACTTCAAATGTTATTTTTGTCCTCTTACTATTACGCCATGCTAGATTTTAAACTTCTTGAATGCTTTGCATTTCCTACAACACTTAACCAATAATCTATATATGGTATACTGAAATATTTTCATTTGAATTAAGTAAATGAACCAGGGTCCCTTGACTCTTCCTTTAAAGGTACTTCTAAAGTCAGATAGCCCAACAGGGGATGTTTTGCTGGATGAAACTCTCAAACACATCAAAGCAACTGAACCCACAGAAACCGTCCAGACGTGGATAGAGCTACTCACAGGTAAAATGGTTAAAAAATCCCACACTTTATAATCTTTATCCTACTAGTTCAAGAAAAGGAGTACAGGAACTCAAGCTGCTGGGTAGGAAGTATATGGTTCACTGTGTAACTGTATTAAAGAGGGACAGAAAAGGCATGGTTAATCAATACATAGAGTTTTCCAAAGTTTCATCTTAGTTCTGCCACCGCACCCCGTAAGCTCTCTTAACAGTATTCTTCACAAGAAAAATTTCTAACATCTTTATTGATACATGATTCATATACCATACAGTTGACCCATGGAAAGTACACAATTAAATGGATTTTAGTATATTCACACAATTGTGCAACCATCATCACAATCTAAATTTAGAACATTTTCATCACCCCAAAAACAAACCCCATATTTCTTAGCAGTTTTTCCCAAGCCTCCTGTCCAGCTCTAGGCAACCACTAATCTACATTCTGTGTCTATAGATTTGCTTATTCTAGATATTTCATATAAATTAAATGTTCAGCTTTTTTTTAATAACTGGCTTAAGATATAATAGTTTTAAGGTTGATCCATGTTTTAGCATGTACCAGTACTTTATCCTCTTTTTTTTCTAAGGGCAAGTTCAAAAACTTTAATATAAATAAGTAGATCTGTGGCATAAAATTTTAGGAGAAAGCAAGACACTTTGAGATAACAGCCAGTGTCACCTTCTGTGACAGTTTTTTTAATTGAAATTTTTATTGAGGTATTTATAGATTTACACGCAGTTATAGGAAATAATATTGAGAGATCCCTTATACACTCTACCCGGAAGCCCCCAGTGAAAACTTTTTACAAAACTGTAGTATAATATGACCCATTGGATGTTGACATTGTTACTCTACACCAATCTTATTAGAACTTTCCCAGTTTTACTTTGATTCCTTTTTATCACTAAATAATATTTCATTGTATAGATGTACCACATTTATTCGTTGATTAATCAGTTGATAGACATGTGGTTATTTCTGCCTTTAGACTATTATGAATAATGCTACTATGAACATTCACAGACATGTTTTTTATGGATGTGTATTAATTTCTTTTGGGTATATAATTAACTTTATTGTAAAGTATGCATAACATAATCTTTATTGTCTTAACCATTAATAAATGTATAATTCAGTGACATTAAATACAATCAAGGTTTTATGTAACCATTACCTCTCTTTATACCCAAAGCTTTCATATCATCCCAAACATCCTTCTTTCTTCCCAACCCCCATTCTCTGGCAATCCTTTTTCTATTTGTTGTCTTTATGAATTTGCCTGTACTAGGTAACTCAGGTAAGTGGAATCATACATTTGTCTTTTTATATGTGTCTTATTTAATTAAGAATAATGTTTTCACTACCTGGTCATGTTGTAATATATATCAAAATCTCATTCCTTTTTATGGCCAAATAATAATCCATTGTTTGGATCTGCCTTTTTTTTTTTTATTATTCATCTGTTGATGGACCCTTGGGTTGTTTCTACCTTTTAGCTATTGTGGATAATGCTGCTATGAACATTAATATACAAATATCTATTCAAGTCCCTGCTTTCCATTCTTTTAGATACATACTTAGGAGTAGAATTGCTGGGTAGTAAGATAGTTCTATGTTTTGAGAAACCACAAAACTATTTTCTATAGAGGCTGTACCCTTTTACACTCTTACCAGCCTTACATGGGGGTTCCAGTTTCTCTACATTGTCATCAACACTTACTCTATTTTTTGTTTTAGTTTGTTTTTTATCGTAGCTCCCCTAGTAGGCATGAAGGGATATCTCTTTGTTGGTTTGATTTGCATTTCCTAATGACTAATGATGAGCATTTTCCCTAATGACCAATGGTGAGCATCTTTTCATAGGTTATTGGCCATTTGTATATCTTCTTTGGAAAAATGTCTATTCAAGTCCTTTGCCCATTTTTTTTTTTAAAGATTTTACTTATTTATTTGACAGAGATCACAAGTAGGCAAAGAGGCAGGGAGAGAGAGGGGGAAGCAGGCTCCCCGCCAAGTGGAGAGCCAATGCAGGGCTCCCAAGCCCGAGATCATGACCTGAGCCTAAAGCAGAGGCTTTAGCCCACTGAGCCACCCAGGCGCCCTGCCCATTTTTTTAAATTGGGTTCTGTTGTTATTATTTTTGTTTAAAGATTTTATTTATTTATTTGAGAGAGAGAGTGTGTGCACATTAGCAAACACACAGAGAGAGGGAGAAACAGACTCCCCACTGAGTAGGGAGCCCAAGGCAGGACTCAATCTCAGGACCCCAAAATCATGTCCTAAGCCAAAGACAGACAACTTAACCAACTGAGCCACCCTGATGGCTCCCTGTTATTGACATTATTGTTGAGTTTTAGAAGTTCTTTATATTTTCTGGATATTAATCCCTTATCGGATCTGTCATTTACCAATATTTTCTCCTATTCTGTAGGTTGTCTTTTCAACTTCTTTGATAGTAGTCCTAGATGCATAAAAATTCTTAATTTTTATGAAATCCAGTTTATCTATTTTTTTCTTTTGTTGCCTGCACTTTTGGCCTCATATCCGTGAAAAGACTGCCCTTTCCCCATTGAATAGTCTTAGCAGCCTTGTTGAAAATCAGTTGATCATAGATATGAGGATTTATTTCTGGGCTCTCTGTTCTGTTGCATTGATCTATGTTTGTCCTATGCCAATACCATACTGTTTTACTTACTATAGCTTTATAGTAAGTTTTGAAGTTGGGAAGTATGAGTCCCACAACTTTATTCTTTTTTAAGTTTATTTTGGGGAAGCCTGGGTGGCTCAGTGGCTTAAGCCTCTGCCTTTGGCTCAGGTCATGATCTCAGGGTCCTGAGAATGAGCCCCAAGCCCCACATTGGGCTTTCTGTGCTGCAGGGAGCCTGCTTCCCCCTCTCTCTGCCTGCCTCTCTGCCTACTTGTGATCTCTCTGTCAAATAAATAAATTCTTTTTAAGAAATAAAATTAAATTAAAGTCAGATTATTTTGGCTACCCTGGGTCTCATGTAATTCTGTGTGAATTTGAGAATTGGCTTTTCCATTTTGGTGGGAAAGGTTATTGGAATTTTGTTAGGGACTATGTTGAACCTGTAGATCTCCTTGAGTGATATTGATATCTTAACAATGTCAACTCTGCCTATCAATCAGAATGGGATGTCTTTCTTTGCATTATTTAGGTCATCTTTAATGTTTTTTCAGCAATATTTTATAGTTTTCCGCATATAAATCTGTCACCTCCTTGGTGAGCCTTATTCCTAAGTATTTAATTCTTTTAGACACTATTATAAATGGAACTGCTTTCTTAATTTCCTTTGTTCTTTACCAGTATGTAGAAACAACTGATATTTCTGTGTTTTTCTTGTTCCCTGTATGTTAGCTGAATTAGTTTATTAGCTCTAGTAGCATTTTTGTGCTTTCTTTGGGATTTTCTTTACAGTTAACTCTTGAACAACATGGGTTTGAACCATGCAGGTCCATGTATACATGGATTTTTTTTTTTTCAATAAATACAGTACATTACTCTAAATGTATTTTCCTTAAGATTTTCTTAGTATTTCATTTTTTGTAACTTAGTTTATTATAAGAATACAGTATATAATACGTATATAAATATGTGTTAATTGACTGTTTATGTTATCAATAAGGCTTTCAGTCTAGGCTATTAGTAGTTAAGTTTTTGTGGGTTTTTTTTTTAAGATTTTATTTATTTATTTGACAGAGATCACAAGCAGACAGAGAGTCAGGGAGAGAGAGAGACGGGGGGAAGCAGGCTCTGCGCTGAGCAGAGAGCCCGACGCAGGGCTCGATCCCAGGACCCTGAGACCATGACCCAAGCCAAAGGCAGAGGCCTAACCCACTGAACCACCCAGGAGCTTCAGTAGTTAAGTTTTTAAGGAATTAAAAGTTACACACAGATTTTGGACTGTGCAGGGTTTTGGCACCTCTAACTCCCAGGTTGTTCAGGGTCAGCTATAGATAGGATCATGTCTTGTGCAAATATAGTTTTAGCTTTTCCTTCCCAATCTGGATGCCTTTCATCTTTTTTCCCTTCTCTAATAGCTCAGGTTTGACTAGCAGTGGTGAAAGCCGTCATCCTTACGTTGTTCGTGACCTCTGAGGAAAAGCTTTTCACTGTTTTTCACTATGTGAATGTGACAAATGTTTCACTATTGAATGTGACATTAGCTATGGATTTTTCATAAATATCCTTTATGATGTTGAGAAATTTTCCTTTCCATCCCTAGTTTTCTGGGAGTTTTTAATCATGAAAGAATGTTCTTTTTTTTTTTCTTTGAAAGTGTCTTCATTTTTGCCAAATGTCTTTTCTGAGTCAATGAGATGACTATATGGCTTTTTTCTTTCACTCTATTAATGTGATATATTACATTATTTGATTTTTTTTTATTGAGGTATAATTGACATAGAACATTATATTCATTTAAGGTTTAGAACATATTGATTCTGGATTCAGGATTGGTGTATATTGTGAAATGATCGTAATATGTCTACTTAACATCCATCACCACATATAGTTACACATTTTTTTCTTGTGATGAGAAATTTTAAGATCTCTCTTAGCAACTTTCAAATATACAATACATTGTTATTAACCACAGTCACTGCGCTGTGTATTACATCCCTAGGAATTATTTATTTTATAACTGGAAGTTTGTAGCTCTTGACTACATTCACCCATTTTTGCCCCCCATCCCTTGCTTTGGCAACCATCACTCTGTTCTCTGTATCTGTGAGCTTTTTGGTTTTGTGTTTTGTGTTTTTTTTTTCTAAGATTTTACTTTTAAGTAATCTCTACACTCACTGTGGAGCTCAGACTTACAACCCTGAGATCAAGAGTCATGTGTTCCCCTGACTGAGTTAGCCAGGTACCCCATTTGGGTTTTTGTTTTTTAGATTCTGTATATAAGTGAGATCATTATAGTATTTGTCTTTCTCTGTCTCACTCATTTCACTTAGCATAATGCCCTCAGGTTCCATCC